TGGGTATCATTTACGAACAATTAAATAAATACAGTAACGCACTGTTATTTCCATACTCTTGTACCAAACAAACAAGAAAGATAATTCGTTTACATTGCATGGCAATGGTAATTAATTTAGATTAAAAAAACCCCAAAACTTGTAAATAAATATGAATCTTTATTCCATGAACCAAATAAAAATGAAGTGTAATAATGATCGCTTTTGTGCAATTCTTCTTAATCATCATCAGTCCAATTACAGAAAACCCTAGCTTGAAGAGGAATTTGTATGTCACATAGACCAAGTTTTGGTACTTCTCCTCGGTTGCTGTAGCACTTCGATGGCCATATTCTGATAGTGATCTTGTAAAGTCCTGCCATGTGGTTCTTGTTTAAGGTCAAAAGTTGTTCCTTAGTGAAAGGTACGATATACTCACCGTTGAAGCGCATCCTCAGTCCGGCGAAACCTTGGACCAAGGTTTCATTTGGTTTTGAAGCGAACCTGTGATTTAGGTACGAGGCTGTGGCCTTGACATATTTAAGGTATTCAAGCCTTTCGGGGATGGTGACGAAAAGGGTGAGGTTGTAAGTGAAGGTGATGGTGGTGGTGTTGTAGGAGAAGCTGAGCACAGTGGCGTTGCTCACAGAGAAGTTGTTTCTTTCATTGACTTCGCTGTCTTCATTATTTATATAGAAAGCAATAAGGAAAATGAAAGCATACATTAGGATCATGGCTGCCACCAAAAGCGTTTTTTGGATAACCTCCATTGTCTTGGATGAAGATCTCATGATGAAAGGAGAAGAAGAGAGTGAAAGGTTTGAGAAAACGAGAAGATTGAGACCTTTGATTTACGAAGTGGTGGATTAAGGTTTATAAATGTGTTGTTTGCATAAGACTTAATTGAATATTGTAAATTAAGGAAAAGAGATGAAAGAAAATAATAATAGGAAAAACTTAATTAATAGTCTTGATTTTTATTTTTGTTGAATACAGTAAAAATTCTGAACGAGAATAAATTTTTTTAATTGAATATACCGATAAAGTTTTTTATTTATAATAAAAAAAATATGTGTTAAATCTAAAATATAAATAAAAAATAAATATAAAATAAAAATAATATGTCTAATATTTTATTTTAAACTATTAGTATGTATCAAGCTTATTGCTAATATAGTTTATAAATATTTAGTAAAATATTTCTTTATGTACAAGTGAATGCTTTGCTAATATAATTCATAAAATATTTTGAATTTAAAATCTATTTAAATATTTTTTAAACTTTTAATAATATTAATAGTAATAATAATATAAAATTTAATTTAATATATTTAAATATATTAAATTATATTAGAACATTAAATTAAATTAAAATATATATTAAATTTTAACTAAAAAATAAAATCTAATAATTATATAGTTTAATTTAAAATTTTTATTTAATATATAATTTAATAATTATTAAAATATTATTTCTATTACAATAATAGTCATATTAAAAATATAAAAATAAAAATAAAAATAATTAAAATAAAAACAGTAATAATAAAAATAAATAAAAATTATAAAAAATTATAAAAACAAAAATAAAAGTAATAATAATAATAATAGTAATAATATAAAATATAATTTAATATATTTAAATATATTAATTTATATTAACATATTAAATTAAATGAAATATTTATTATGTTTTAAATAAAAAACAAAATTTTAAAAAATTTATTAAACAGATTTAAAAACCCGTCTTAAATTTTTAATATTTTATTTTTTATTTAAAACTTAATATATATCCTTAGTTTAATTTAATATTTTAAATTTATTTAATATATATTAATATTTTAATAATCATTAAAATATTATTTCTATTATGATAAATAGGTATAGTAAAATAATAATGACAATAATAAATATAAATATAATAATAATTAAAATAAAAAAGATAAATATAATAACAATAATAATAATAACAATAATACAAAATCTTAAATATGTATTAAATTATATTATATTAAATTAAAAATTTATTAAATTTTAAATAAAATACAAAATTTAGTAAAATATGTTATATTAATTTAATATTTTAAAAAAATTTAATATATATTAATGTTAGAATAATTATTATAAATATTTTTATTATTATAATCTTTGTTTATAAAATTAAAATTTAATAGATATTTATTTTAATTTAATATTTTAATATATAATAATATTTTAAAAGTTATTATCATTGTTATTATAAAAATAATAATGTAACATTCCAAATTTTTAATAACACATCAATAAACTAGAACAATCATAAGAATAGCATATATAAACTTTTTCAGTTATCCAAACATAACCATAATAATATCACATATACTAGAAAGGAAGATAACATTTCTACCAACAAAGCGCCTTACACTTAAAAGTTAAAGTGCAGCTAGAAGTTTAACACAAGGAGACATATACATCTATAAACATATATATACAACATCAGAAAACTAAGAAAAATAAGGCTAAAAGTTGGCTTAATAACACTGATGGTCCCTATTTTTGTCTGATTTGTTCCAAATGGTCCTATTTGTTCCAAATGGTCCTATTTTTTTGGCTTAATAATAGTATCATGGCATTTGGGATGATTTGGGAGAGTGACATACAGATCTAGGAAAAGTCAATTTTAGTGGATTACTTCAAAAATCTTTTCACCATAAGCAACCCACCACATGTAAATGCTTTCACCGAGAATATTGAGAGGTAAGTTACGACAAAGATGAACTCAAATTTCTTCATTCCTTGCACTGAAAGACAGAATATCGCTTTCAAGCAAGGTACGAAGGAACTCTTGCTATGAATATTAAAATTACTCGACCGATATGAAATCACTCGAATGAAGTGAGGGATTTGAGCTCGACTGAAAGAAGAGAGATGATAGGAAGAAGGGAATATAATTCTTAAGGTTGTCCTAGGCATTACTACTAATGGGCTTTACTCAAACTAAGCTATAGGATTTCATTTTCTTCCCCAAGACTAGAAAAAAAATACATATTATCAGAAGAGATACTTCGTTCCTTCTTCTAAGGAGCAATCAAAGTCATTCATGTGCTTCTTTCCTACGGGAAGTTCCATCTTTCTCTCTTTCTTTAAATACTTAGTTGACATGGCTATAAGCGTTTACGTTATGCTTGCTACAAGTAAACTTTTTGTGAACGAAGAAATCAAATTTCAGTTGCAGAATCAAAACATTAGCACAAACTCTATCAAGACCTCTCTAGAGAATGTTGTTTTAAAGGTAGCAATCCCAAGGAAAGGACTGTGAAGTCATCTTAACACATTTAACATATTCTTTTAAATTTTGTTTTCTAATTTAAAAATTAATAAGTATTTAATTTAATTTAACAATTTAATATAATTTAATATATATTAATATTTTAATATTTTAAAATATATTTTATTGAATTAAAGTAAATAAAAACATTTTAAATAAATAAAAATAAAAAATATTGAAAAAAAATAAAAAAAGATTAATATATTAACGGATTTCGAAATATGTTATATATATCAACCGATTTTGAACCCTGTTAAAGAGGGTGCACAGTGAATTTATTAAGAAAAAGAAAAAGTTAAAAAAAAGATTATTAAGGTTAATTATAGAAGTTTTGAAAAAATTGGAGGTATAGAGGGAAATTAGAAGGATAGGAAGAAACCTCCTTACATATTTTCTATAATGTAAGAGCTAAATTAATAAGGACAACAATAGAGCTTGCTCTTATTATATAAAAATAAACCAAGATTTTCAATCTTATAATACTAAATAGACACCGAAATCTTTTAAAGATGAAAATAAAATGAAATATTCCATTCATTTTATCTTCTTCGAAAGTTTTCTATACTTCAATTAATACAATGTTAAACTAAAATAAACCAAGAAAAAAATACAATACATAATATCATTTAATAATTCAAATTAATAATCACTATTTAAAAATATAAAGGATACTAAGGCCTTAAAGGATTGATGTAAATTAAATTCACTAATTTAACAATTAAGACGTGGAAGGATATAATAAAGTATTTAACAATTAAGACCTTAAAGGTACTTGAAAGCTTAATAAAGTATTTCATAAATGATATAATAATTTTATTGTAAAAAATTATCAAAATTTGTATTTTAGAATTACTAATTATTTAAAACTATTAATCTTTTTTATTATTAAAAAATATTTTTAATTACTCAATATTTAAAATTAAGTAATGTTCATTTCCTTAGTAAAGTTTAATATCCATAATAAAATAAAATTTTAAAATGATATTCCCTATATCTTAATTAAGAATTTTTAATTTTTAATAATAAAGTACACAAGTTCAACATGTTCATGGATAAAATTTAGACCACAAACCCGTTTCAGTTAACTTGCTTCTCTGAACCTTAAAAAACAAGCTGGAGTGTGCTAACCTCTTATAGTTAGAACAGGTCAGTTTCTTCATGCATTTTTCAAATTTACTTCTTCTATTTCCATAAATATTTTACCCATTTTACCTTTTTCAAATTATATAATCCTAAAAATAGCCTTTAAATTCTGAAAATCACAATTTAAATGTCATTTAACTTCCAAATTACATAATCTGAAAATCATGTCTGACTTTCAGATTATGCAGATTAAAAGATCAGGAAGTCTTTTTCTAAGAAAACAAAAATTACTTTTGTACAAAATCCCGAAAGGGCAAAATGGGTATTTTCTTATGAGGGTGCAGAAATAAAGTTATGGAGATGCAGGAAGAAACTGCCTAGAACATGGGATCTTCATCTGCTAGACCTGGATCAATATACACTTATCAGACCCAAAATCTCAATCTAACTCAAAATGCTTCAGCTTCTCTCGTGGGGCCCAATGAAGCATGCATAGCAATCATTATCCTGGAGCAAGTTTCATGCATGTGTTTCAGCACAATGAAGCAAGAATGATCCAGACAGACACGAGTCAAGTAATTATTGAGTTGCATTAGATGACTAATATTATGATATACTGCCTATAATAATATAATCCAAAACAAAAAATGAAGCTTTAGTTTCTAATATGAAGGTCTTGCCCAACATCCTTGAGCTAGAAGGAAGCTGTTGAAATATTATTTTATGAAATCACTTTGAACACAGAAATTCATGGTGACAATGTTCTTTGGCAACTTTGATTACACCGTGACAAATCAACGCCACGCAGTGGAGGGGTTGAAAAACAAATAAAGGAAAGGACTCAACACTACAGTACTTATCAGCCTGTAAGAGCAGAGTTGAGAGCGCTGTGGACGTCCACCCCAATCTGAGCCTCAGCTTTCTCCAAGTCAGTTGAGGCTGAGTTGAGCTTCTGGGTGAAATCTTGAAGGCCCTTCTGAACAAGATTTGCATCAATCCGATCTATCGGCACGGCCTCAACAGCTACTATGTCAGCAACAGAGTTCGCGTGGATGAATGCAAAGCCACTGCTGACAAAATACTTTGTCACATCGTTCCCTTCATGAACAGAGAGGACACCAGGTTTCAACTCAGCAATTGTTGCTACATGTCCTGGCAGAACACCCATCTGCCCAGTTGTTGCTGGTACAATCACCATGTCAACCTGTTGCACACAAATTATGTCACTTTTCAAGGAACATCATCAGTTAAGGAATTTTCTGTACTAATATCCAAAACTTGGATTGGATCAAACCAGTGAATGTAACACATGGCAGAACAAGAAGAAAAAAAAACAGATAACCATGGGTTAAAAGAAATTCAACTTGTAATAATAGATGATAAGTTAAAAGAAATTCAGCTTCTCCCCTGGGTTAAAATCAACTTATCACCTCAGGTTTAGGAGAAAGTGTCCACAAAATTGATCTGCTGCATCTTCATGATGAGAATTACAACAAGGATAAGATATTGAGAATGGCATATGAATTAACCTATAGTCTGATCCGAAACCAGCAATCATGCCCTTGGTGGACGAGATTGGAAAATTACAGCTAACACCAAAAATTCTGATTTCTCCGTTTATTTGATCCTTTTTCTTTCCGGCCATTGTAGGCACAGTTTTCATGTCAACTAAATGCAATCTCATATAGAACAAACTAATAACACTGTCTCATCCAGCTATATTCCACTGCATTTAACAACTTACATCAATTTAATTAGAAGAGTCACACCCAGTTTAATCAGACAACTTAAAATTTACTTTTGAGACTACTGGGGTGCTTTGGAATGTAGGCTGCTTAGAATTTATACCTTGCAATAAAGACCGGAGGAAGTAATTTATAATATAATAAAATTATTAGACATCAGTATCTCATTCAACTGGACGTCTCATTATGTTCCATGAAATCAATTATGTTTGGTTTTCTCATACCTATCTTGTGCGAGACAATGGTGACACTATTCTTCATTGTTCTATCATGAGAGAGTATTTCGGAATCTTTCTCATACCTATCTTCTCTTCCTTCTCATCACTATATATATTGTTTTTGGTGTAGACTACTGATTAATATATATGTCTGTTATGGAAAAGGGGCAGATTAACAACTAGATTCACTTCTTTACTATAAGAAACTTTATGTAATATTTTGTATTTTTATTTTGACATAACAAAACTCTATATATAATGATTAGTGTGTGTGT